ACCACTGATTGTAACACATAATCTCACAGTAGTCATGGTATGGGCTCCTAAAAGCGTTTAAATTGTATTGAATGTATCCTGCATTTTCAAAAACATTGCAAGGAAGCATTTCCTTTAGCTTTTTTTTTAATTTATATTTCAACATGACATTGCAAGGAAGCATCGTAGAAACAATAAATTGTCTTTAAAGGTTCTTCCCATGAACTAATTTCCAAGGATGCTATGACGCATTTCAAGAAAACATTGATTAAATGGTTTTGATCTGTTATGGAGAAACTTCTTTGCTGCAAATATTACTTTAGCTGAATGTTAGCATTTAGAAGTTTCATTTAGAGTACATTCCGTTTTCAAAGTGCAAGAATAGCAGTAACCTGTGTCTGCTATGTACATTTGGCCATAAGGGATTCATTGAGTTTCCTTGAATAAAATTTGGTCCAATAGGCTTCCACACCTCAATCTTTTTTATACTATTTTCAAGCGCCTTGGTGTCTTGCTAAACCCTCTCTGTAAGCATCGAGTTACTGATTAACCATAGAACTATCCATGAGAAAAATCAAGACTAGAAATTAATAATCTCTCTTTCCAGGTTTGGGCTTCAAAGTGGAATGAAAGAGCCTATATTAGCATACAAAAAGCCAAAATGGATCATAATAGCCTTTGCATGGCTGTCCTGGTTCAAGAAATTATATGTGCTGATTATGCTTTTGTGATCCACACCAAAAATCCCTTATCAGGGAACCCTACGGAGATTTATGCTGAGGTAATGTTGTGTGTTTTTAAGGCTTCTAGATCACGAAAATGCTTCTTCTCACCCAATTTTGTTTTGTTCAAATAACAGATTGTTAAAGGTTTGGGAGAAACTCTAGTGAGTGCTTATCCAGGTCGAGCTATGAGCTTTGTAACCAAAAAATCTGATTTGAACTCACCCAAGGTGCAGCTGACTCCTGCTTAGAAACTCTCTCTCTCCCCCCCGCCCCTCCTCCTCCTCTGGACGCATGCCCTTTCACATACATGAAATATGGGCATGCATACAATAACATAATGTAGTGGAATGTACAGGTTCTTGGTTATCCAAGCAAGCAAATAGGCCTTTTTATCAAGAGGTCCATCATATTCAGATCAGACTCTAATGGTGAAGACTTGAAAGGCTACTCTGGTGCTGGGCTTTACGACAGGCAAGTTTGTTTTGTTTCCTTAACCTATATATATGGTGAAATTTCATGAAAAATCAACATTGAAATCCTAAAAAGAATGGTTCTGAAATGAGCAATCTTTCTTGAGCAATGCAGTCTATTCATTTTATTTTTTTCCTCACTTTATTGTCTCTTAATTACAGTGTGCCCATGGATAAAGAGGATAAGGTGGTAGTGGACTATTCTTCTGATAGATTGATAGTTGATAGAGCTTACCAGAAATATATATTTTCAAAGATTGCATTAGTTGGGAAAGTAATTGAAGACCTCTATGGCTCTGCCCAAGACATTGAAGGGGTGGTTAAAGATGGAGAAATATACGTCGTTCAGACAAGGCCACAAATGTAATGAGTTGTAAATTCAAGTATAGTTTATGCTAAATAATGGGGGATGGACAGGGTCTTCCTGATAGGCTTTTTTCCTTTTGATCTTGGCCTTATTTCAAATAAATAAATTACAATAAGATATTTATTGAGCCCTTTTAATTGTGATATTTCAAGTTGGATTAGTGATGAAAGTTACATGTAGAAATTCATGATTGTAATGTATGTGCATTCCTCTCTCTGTCTCTCTCTCTCAATTTTCTATTGAGCCCTTTGTCATTGGTATCTTACAAGTTGGATGATGATGAAAGTTGGATGTAGAAATGCATGCTTGTAATGTCAGTGCATGCCTCTCTCTCGTTTCATTTTTATTATGCATGGTCATAGTGATTATATGAACCTGCTCTGTGGCTTCTCATAAGCTTGGCACATCTGGACCATCCCATTCTCATTGATAGTCCGATTAACGAGTATTGAATCCAACCCTTTTCCTTGTTGCGGGCTACGCATCATTTGATCGGGCCCTCCATCATGGTGGATGCTCCTAATCTGATGTCTTATTGTAAGTCCGTCAGATTTTTTTTAATAGTTCTTGTTCAATTTTGGGCACGTAAAATTTATGAAGGCATCAATTCCAAAATGGAAGGTTAAGATTTTGCATTTAACTCAAATAATTCAAGGGAAATGTTTTTCCTGACTGCGGACCCATGCGTCCTCTTCGATTTTCACCTGAATCACGCTTCAAAAGCACATCCATATTTTTTTCAAATACTATTCGGCCCAAGATATATGAATGTGGATCTCCAAAAATAATACGAATCTAATGATCTTCGAAAAATTGAAATGATTGTTTGAAAGAAGAGCGTACAAGATGAACCATTTTTACGCTAACATTTTAGCAGGGTGGAAACGTGTCCGTAACGTCCCCCCTAAAATCAACATGATCGCCCATGATAACTTTAAGCATGGGCTATTTGACAGATCGCTCACTACAATGCATTTATTTGTCATGCTTGGATTGTGTATCGTCATTGAACCAAAGAGATTATATGCTAGGCCTTTACATAAATGGGATTGTATTTTTTGTACAAAGAGGTTATAACTATTCTTAGTCATTAGATATGGTGCATAAGAAAAAATCATACCAAAAGATTATATACAACAAGTCCAATTTTTGGACATTAAATGCGGGTGCTTGGGCATTCCAATTATTATTCTTCTTCTTCTTTTTTAAATAATTATTTGGTGATTGTAAAGTGCATCAAATTTTTGAATCAAGTAAATCTTCCTAAGTTGGTCATTTTTTAGAGGACGTAAATGTAAAATTTAATCCAAAAGGAGCACACCTAGGGCAATTGTCGTTATTTATAGACCCGAACCTGGATGATCTATCCATGACCAGGATGAAACTTGGGTGAAAATAAGCAGAAATTCGAATTGACTGATGTTGAATAATCAACAGATGAGTGTAGTTGGGGGTGAAATGCCACTCGAACCCAAAGCTAGCTAGGTCTCCTCGGAATTCATTGACATGCAACAGTTGACTAGAAATCTACGGGTAAAACATTTTTTTGACGTGGGCAGCGAGAATGGTACCAAATCGAGATAAACTTTGAATACTAGATATGACGCGAAAATAACAACAGGTAATGTTAGCCTGTGAGACGGTGGGAGATAAGCTTAATCATCAAGAGGGAAACAGCTTTGAGCGCCACCTAAAGCCCCTAAATGACCGCTTAGTGATAAAGGAGGTAGGGCTGCGGAGACAACCACGAGAACAACCATGAGGTTTGCCTAGAAGCAACTACCCTTGAACTTATTTGGAAGTGCTTAGGTCCAACATCGAAAACCAAAGATGCATGGCGGTTGGACTCACCAAAAACTTTTTTCTTTTTTAACGTTTGGTATTATTAAAAAATTTTCGTTATTAATCTTGGCATGTATTCCAAAGCAAAGTGAATCTGAAGCACCACTGACACTACTTTGGGGGCTCTAACTTTGAAGGACCATATCTATATAGCAAGATTTCAAAAATTTCATACTTTAGAAAAATTCCTTGTAACTTATGTGTTAAAGTTATAAGGGAAATTATCAAAAATAAATTTAAATTCTTTTAAAATTAAAAAAATACTAATTTTGTTTAAAATTTATATGCATACCCAAAATTTCAAAAAACTTTTTGCCCAAAAATGCCTTTCACAGCCATAATAGGTCACTACAATCCTATTGGAGCCGAGATGCAGCCTCTAATAGGTTGTGACATCATGGCTCTAGTAGAGTTGTCGTGCCCAAGGGAAGCATGAAAGACATTTTAGGTAGAAAAGATAACTTGAAAAATTGGGTATGGATGTAAATTTTGAAAAGTCCTATTATTTTTTGAATTTTTGAAGAAAAAAAAAGGGCTACTTTTGATAATTTTCCATAATTATAATAAATAATTGAAATTTGGATGCTAATTTAGCTACAAAAAGCAAAATGGTTGAAGCTTAATGAGTTAAAGGAAGAGGAGATCATATCATAACGCATCCACCTTCCATCCCAACAAAGGACCGCGTGGATTAGCAGCAGTTCCAATTGGCAAATCCCGATATCTTCGTATCTTCCCAATTAAGCCCTGAATCCTAGGTACTTGTGTTTCTCATTCATCTCCCGGGTACTCTTATTAAAAAAATATTTTACTCATTTAATCCCTCGGGGAAACCCCATTTATAATTAACATTAAAAAACCACTTAAAATTAATTTTAAGTCCCCAAATTTTGGAAATGTAATATCTTCAATCTATAGATTAACCTCAATAAAAACAAATTCTTAATTATGCCATCTATGCACTTAATAAAAATAATGTCTCTAGATTGAATAGAGATCATCTAATATTTGGATGGCGAGATCCATGTATTGCAAAACTCAACTTTTAGAATAATTATCTAGTAATTTTTAAGTTGTTCCCAATGTTTCATATTAAAAAAAAAGAAAAGTATATAAAGAGACTATTTACTTTTCATATAAGGAGGTCACAATAATTTTTGTCAATCAGATTTCAAATCAAATAATTGTAAGAGTGTCATTGACTGAACTCAAAATGCAAAAAAAATTCTTACTTCTCAAGCCATCTAATTTGACATTTAATTACTAAGAGCAATTGTGACCTTCTAATAAAGATAAGAAAAAGTATACAATGGAACCATTTACCTGTGGTACAAGGTGGTCAAAATTAATCTTGATAATTGGATGTCAAATTATGTGGCTATATTTTCCATTGAGCAAGCTCAAAGTTCAAAGCGACTTTTTTGAATTTTGTGACACACGTAAGCTATCAGATTTCATGTCAAATGGTTCTAAGTAATTGTGATCTCTTTGTACCAAAGGCAAATGGTCCCATTGTATACAATCCTCCAACAAAATTATCAAACTCTATTTGATAAATATGAGATCATGGAACCTACAAATTCTTGGGATTTCCTGAGATTGCCAAGATTAATGAATCTGATTTCTTAAACTTATACTACATAAAATTTATAAACGTCCTTCAAAAACCAAATATTCAAAGAAATTTGCCCCTAATCCATGGGTTTTCTTGTTTTTCTCTCTCGACATACTTTTGTCTCCCTCTTCTTCCTATTTTGGAACTAAACAGTTTGTGAATTTTTCTCTCTACCTATTGCTACAGCCACAAAGATTCATCATTTCTTCAAAAGCCACCTTTTAATTTCCTCTCTCTAGGTTTCTTGCATGTGTTATCAGCATGCAACAAATCAATTAAACTCTGTTGCAATGGCTGAAAAGTAGAATTCCTTATGAGGTTACAGAAGTAGAAGCCAAAGGCAATTTGTGAAGATGAAGAAATTGCTTGAATTAGAGCTAACATTGTCTGAGAGACAAACTTGAGTGTGATGATGTAGAGAGTAAACAAGGAGTTAAATGGGTGGAGTGGTACACAGAGAAAGTGGATGGGAAATAGCCAAAAAAATTCCAGGCCACATAAATGTTGGAAAAGACAGAAGCAACTAGAAGCCCACTTCTACAAGTTTTCTTTATTGGAAAATTGTTTCATGTGGGGCCGCATTTCTACATATGCGGTTAAGAAAGTATAAAGCATTTATCTTAAAGATGGATGCAAGTAGGTGTTTCATCTAAAAACAATGGAAACTAGTTGTCCAAATGTTTTCTTACTAGAATTATTATTTTTAGTTTTAAAATTTTATTTTATTTTTATACTTATAATCTCTATATTAGATATTACATGTCTGTCCTTAAAAATTAAATATTAAAATCCATCACAAAAATAGACTTATTAAGAGGCCCACATTTCTACATATGCGAGCTTGACCGCATAGAAACCGGGTCCTTTCTTTATTGGGCAGTGAGCAAAATCCGTACCATCAAAATTGATGAACGGAGCAGAAGGCTGCAGCCCAAGTTCAACAAATAAAGCTGCATCCATATAGAAACCGCATTCAAAGATAAATGGTCTCATTATATACAATCTCTTTGTGACCTCAATCCCGAATGAAAAAATTGTATGTATAAACTTTGTTCGACTGTCCAACCGATTAAACCCCTGAAAGATGATAAGGCACTGGGTCCAGATGGGGTTATGGTTAGAGAGAGAAAGAAATATTTGATGGTGGTGGTTTTAGGGGGGTTGAATTCGCAAAGGAATCAGATTGTTGATGCAGTTGTGATTACTTGGATTCTTGGTGCTGCCTTGGTTTTGCCCATTTTGCAGGTCAATGTTGTCTGGGGCGATGAGAGGATGAGGAAAAAGAAAGGATTTTATTGTTGAAGACTTGGTCTAGGGTTTGTAGATATGTTTCGTGTTCTAGAGTTTCTCGCGAGGCAGCTTTGTTGGTGGTTTTGGAAGACACAATCTATTGGGGGCAGTTTCCTTGTTGTTGCGAGCTACTGGTTGATGATCTGAAGCAAGATTGAACAGCAGAAAGGTGGGTTTATAAACGGCAGGTAGGTTGCCTTTTTGTGGGTTTTGTTTGCAGGTGTTTTCTTTTGTTAGGTTTTATTTGGAAGATAAGGAGCCATATGTTGCTTGATTGGCTTCGTGTTTATTCTGATTTAGTCTTGCTTCCATGTCTCTTAATGTTTTACTTGTTTTGGTTTGATGGGGTTGAGTTTGTCATAGAAAAAAAGGAAAAGAATTAGTGGTAATGCAAGGCAGCTCTACCTTTGTTAGGATCTTGTCTTTTAAATGGGGAGAGCTGAATATCAAAAAGGAGTTCTCCATCACT